CTTTCCAATATGGAAATAATAATGATAGAAATTACTATGTGCAGGTACTTTTTTAAAAATTTCACAAGTATTAAGTGACAACTCTTTGAAATAGGCATTATGATTACTTCCTTTCCCTTTACAGAAGAAGAAACTGAGTCACAGAAAAATCAAATAGTCTACGGTCACACTTCTGGAAGTCAAAATTAATCATTCTTTTTAATATACTTACTGCCTTGCCAATAAAATAATGAAATTTTATGCTGTTACCCAGGTTGCTTCAAAGTCTTGTCTTCTTGCCTCAGCCTCCCAAGCAGCTGTAATGAAGGGGGTGCACCACTGAGCCCAGATGAGCCAGTTTTAAAATTATTAAATCAGAATAGGTCTTTATATATTCTGGATATAAATCCTTTATCAAATATACGATTTTTCCATATTTATCACTCTGTAGCTTGTCTTTTTACTTCCTTAATGATGTCTTTTGAATCGCAAAAGTTATGAATTTTAATGAAATCCAATTTATCACTTTTAGTTTATCATTTGCAGTTTTGGTCTCATATCTACTAAATTTTATCCAAGCCATATTTTAGAATTGTCCCTTCCCCCAATTTTGGTATGTCTTGGACAGATTTCTAAGTCAATATTTAGATTTGATTCATCATTTTTGTTGTTGTTTCTCTTTTTTTTTCTTTTTCTTTCTTTCTTTTTTTGATACTGGGTATCAAACTCGGGCCTGTGCACTCGTGAGGTGGGCGGCAGAACCACAGAACCAAATCCCCGGCCTTGATTCATCACTTTTGACTACTGGAGAGAGAAAAGAGAAGAAAGGAGACAGCAGGGCCAGGCTATTCAAAATATTCAGTATGACTCTTGATTTTTGCTATTGTTCCCGGGATCAAACTCAGGACTTTGTGCTTTCCAGGCCCGTGCGTTGCCCCTGAGCCACATCCCGGGCCTGATTCTTTGTTCTTGGGGCTCTTCTGTCTACCATTCGAGTCACCGCCTACTAGCTCCTCTGTGGATTGGGAATAAAAACTTGATTTGTTAATTAACCTTATCGTAACACTTACATCTGAACGTATTGGCCATACAGGTTCAAACTCCTAAATTTTCTGGAGGTTTAAATTCCTCCATCACAAATCTTTATATGGAACATATATTTCTCAGTAACTTGGGATTTGACAACTGTTTCTTCCTGTGTATACCTCTCTCTGTTCAGCTGGATTGGACCTTGGGAATGATTCCACTTCCATTTATGCATTAAAACATAACTTTAAAAAAAAGAATGTAGTGGATAAGAACAGTGGCATGTGCCTTTGTGCATATGTGGTGTGTGCTGTGCTGTGCTGCAGAATGAACCCAGGCCCCCTGTATGGTAAGCAAAGAGTCTGCCATTGAGCTGCATCCCCAGCCTCTCTTATTTAACATTTTTATTTTGAGACAAGGTCCCATTAAGTTCCTCAGGCTAGTTTGGGATTTAGCTCAGCGGTTCGGTGGCCTGCCTTGCAAGTGCAAAGACCCAAGTTCAATCCCCGGTACCAGAAAAAAAAAAAAGTTCCTCAGGCTGACCTGAAACTTCCGATCCTCTTGTCTGAGCTTTCTGAGGAGCTGGGATCACAGACATGCGCCTTTACACCTGGCTGGCAGGTGTGTTTTAATGGTAGACTTCCAGGGACTGGGATATCCCTGAATAAAATGATGGTTATCATTTAAGAGGTTCTAAAATGCATGGACGGTTGCATCCTGGTCTCTGTTGGGAGTAGAACTTCACTGCCTTCGTGGGTAGGGTGTGGTTTTGTGCAAAGCTAGAAACTTCTTCTTGAAATAATTTTCAGACTTCAAATACTAATGGAGAAAATCCACACTGAGAGAAAGTATCTGTGAGAGGGGTCCCAGAAGTAGAAAGGGAAGGCACATTAGAGGATTTCAGAGCTCAATGCTAACCATGCTCAACTGCTAACAGACAGCCACTGGACAATCCTTTCAGAGAAGTCAAGTGGGGGTGGCCTTGCTTCTTTGGAGAACTAATATTCTAAGGTTGTGGCTGAGAACATGGAAAGCAAGTACAAATAGCAGTAAGAAGCAAGGAGGCTGGGGAGCATTGCTAGGGGCAGCCTTGGTAGGAAAAGTCCCACTGCTAGGTTTGAGAAGGGACAATGAACAAAGAGGCAGGTATAATGTCCTCAAGGAGCACGTCCAAACTGGTAGCTAAACAGTACTGAGAAAAGCAGAGAGATCATGCAAAGTGCTTTAAGACTTGCCTGAGGTCTCCAACTTTTTTTTCCCCTCTTCACTTGGAAAACAATACCAAGTCTCTGCTGGGGCCTGGGGCTGTGTTCTTGATATATACTGGAAATCTAGGAAATGGAGAGACCAGCTGGAAGCCACTGCGGAGATGCAAAGTTGAGGCGATGGGCTGGTTTTAGCAGGGTGTGTGGGAAGAAGGGATGGATTTTGCTGTGCTCCTGCAGAGGAGATGGGCATGGTGGGGTTGGGGAGTGCAGAGGAACCCTGGGAAGAGCTGAAACATAATGGTGGGAGACTTATATTTTTGGAGGTATATTTACATATAGTAAAATGAAGCCATCTTAGGTATACAATGGGTTTTGATGTACATCTTCATCTGTGCAACCCTCCCTTTCAAAATTTACTGTCCTCTCCCCCTGCAGTGTGATTGAAGTACATCCTCAGACCTTTTTATTTTGATTTTGTTTTTTTGAAACAGGGTCTCACTATGTAGTTGAGTCTGACCTGGAACTCACTATATAGCCCAGCCTGGTCTCGAACTCCCAGCGATCCTCCTGCCTCAGCCTCCCGAGTGCTGGGATTACAGGCGTGCGTCACCATGCCCGGCTCCAGACCTCTTTATTTTGAGAGAGGGTCTTACTAAATTGCTCAGGCATGGCTCAAACTTGGGGGATCCTTCTGCCTCAGCTTCCTGCAAATCCCGCCCCCTCCCCCGCCACTGCTTAATCTAAATGAAGCCACACCTAAGACAGAAAACTATACATGCACCTGACCTGAGAAGCAACTAGGGCTGGGACTGTATGGACTAGGTTATTTAGAGCCGGTAGGTAGAAATCCTGTGAGCAATGAATACAGGTAAATGACGAGATAAATGGGGAACCAAAAGCCCCAGACTTTTAAATTTTGGAGGAGCTTAGGCCCTATACACTTGTGGTCTTATTTGTCTACAGTCTGCTCCAATGAACCTGGAGAATGAGCCTCACTGCGGTGGGCTGGTGGGGGGAAGGGAGCTAGACGACCCCACGGGGCGGTCTGCACCTCCTCCCAGCTAGCAAGCAGGACATTTTGAGCTGTGGAGGGAGGCTACCTTGCAGCTTGGCCTCATTACTGGAGGGTCAAGCTTTGAACCTCCGTGCTTTTGCAGAGACCCTGCTGCAGCGCCTCGGGTGCTTGCAGCTGGTGCAAACTTGCCCGTGGCTGGGTTTGGGGGACAAAGGGCGTGGCTACACTCCCGTGTTTTTTCTCCCGCCTCTGAAATCCCGGGAACGTTCTGAAAAGTATCCAAAAGCTCTGCACCACGGGCGCCAAAAGAAAAAGAGCACAACCCCCACCACCAGCACTTCTGGCGCGGCTTGTCCAGAGCTTGCAACTCAGGCTGCACCTCCGGCTGGACGCACACGCCTGCTGTTCCTCCTGCCCCGGACCCTCTCCGTCGGCTGCAGCCTTCTCCAAGCGGGCCATCAGCAGTCCGCGCTGCTTCTTGGACTAACATGCCCAACGAAGACTCTTTC